AACTTACCATTGAGGAGCTGGATCTGTCCTACAATCTCATCAGAAGGATTCCGGAGAAAGCATTCGATGGTCTAAAGGATTCGCTGAATGAATTGCGACTGGCGAATAATCTATTGGGCGATAATCTCAATCCCATCTTTTCCACCGCCGAATTGCATGTGCTGAAGAATCTTAGGATCTTGGATCTGTCTGGAAACAAGATCAAGCTCATCGAAGAGGGTCTTCTCAAGGGCTGTGTGGATCTAAAAGAGTTCTACATCGATCGCAATGGCTTGACGGCAGTGCCCACCAACTCTCTAAATGGACCAAGTGCCCTGAGACACCTTTCGCTGCGCCAGAACCAGATTGGTAAGACGGATTAGCCAAGTTAATGCAATCAAACCGCAACTGGTATAATTAAAAACCAGCCCACAAATCGTAATCGTTAACAGAACAATTACCTGTGGTTGTAAATAACACCAAATTAGAAATCATACAGAACCTTGAATTAACATTTCCAATTAACTTTGGGCAAGCAAGGTTTTAAATAGAATTATCCAAAAATCGTTCAACATTCATGATCCTACTTTATTTTTCTTCTCTATAGGAACCCTCCTTCCAGACTCTTTCAATGCCCAGCGTCAGTTGGAGATCATCGATCTCCGGCACAATGTCATCCGCAGCATCGACAGTCAGGCCTTCAAGGGACTGCAGAAGATACGGGAAATCAAGCTGGCCGGAAATCGTATCAGTAACCTCAATAGTGATGTCTTTGAGAAGCTGCAGTCGCTGCAGAAGCTAGATCTGTCCGAGAATTTCTTCAATCAGTTTCCCACGGTGGCTCTGGCGGCAGTTCCTGGAGTTAAGCACCTAAATCTGTCCTCAAACATGTTGCAGGTTTGTACATTGTAATGATATTTTAAAGTTTGATAAGCAGTAAACTTGTTTTTCTAAAATATATTTTATTATTTATCAAATTTACTTTGATTGGCTTACAACAAAATCTGATATCATTATTATACATCATTTTGATATCTTCCTTTTCGGCAGCAATTGGACTATACCCACATGCAAGTGGTACGGTCTTTGGAAAGCCTGGATATTAGTCGTAACACCATCACCAGCATTACACCAGGAACTTTCCGGGAGATGGGTGCTCTTAAGTATCTGGACCTTAGCTTGAACTCATTGAGAACGGTAAGTAATACTACGGAAACTCTGAAAGTTCTTATAAATACTGGTTCTGTAGATTGAAGACGATGCTTTGGAGGGATTGGACAGCCTGCAGACGCTTATCATTAAGGACAACAACATTCTCTTGGTGCCCGGCACTGCCCTGGGCCGCCTGCCCCAATTGACATCACTGCAATTGGATTACAATCGAGTGGCTGCGCTCTCCTCGGAATCCTTGGATCCCTTCAGGCGGGAGATATAACAACCCTGTCCTTGTCGAGGAATGTGATTCGAGAACTTCCTCCGGGAAGCTTCCAGATGTTCAGTAGCCTACACACCTTGGATCTGTCTGGAAATTCCCTGGCTTTGATCAATGCAGATACTTTTGCGGGATTGGAGAGCACTTTGATGGCCCTGAAGCTATCGCAGAACAGGCTAACAGGCTTGGGAGGAGCTCCATGGGTTCTGCCCGAGTTGAGAAGTCTGGATTTGAGTGGCAAAGCCTAACGGAATTGCCCAGTAACATTTTCGAGGAACTGGAGAATCTGCAATCCCTCAACCTGAGTGGAAATCACCTGACCCCCTGACTGGAGCTCTCTTTAAACCCTTGGATCGCCTGCAGGTCATCGATCTAAGTCGCTGTAACATCCGTCAGATAAGCGGTGACCTCTTGGCAGGCTTACAGGATCTAAAGCACATTTACCTCAATGATAACCAGATGCAAGAGCTGCAGGATGGTAGCTTCGTCAACCTCTGGAACATAAGCTCCATCGATCTATCTAACAATCACATTGGATCCATTCGTTCCGGGGCTTTGTGAATGTGATGAAGTTGCAGAAACTGAATCTTCATGGCAATCAGTTGTCCGCTTTCAAGGGAGAATATTTCAATACAGGAACGGGAATAGAGGAGTTGGATATTTCGGATAACCAGTTGAGCTACCTATTTCCCTCGTCCTTCAGAATTCATCCAAGGTTAAGGGAGATACGAGCGGCGAATAATAAGTTTTCCTTCTTCCCGGCGGAACTTATTTCCTCCCTGCAATATCTGGAGCACATCGATCTAGCTTTAACCAGTTGAAAACCATTGAGGAACTGGACTTCGCTAGATTGCCCCGCCTTCGGGTTCTCCTGGTGGCCAACAACCAACTGGACATGGTCAGTGAGATGGCCTTCCACAATTCCACGCAACTACAGATCTTGGATCTGGCTTACAATAACTTGGATCGCATTGGAGAGAGGACTTTTGAGGGCTTGGTGCGATTGGAGCAGCTCAACCTGGAGGCAACCGGTTATCGGAGCTTTCGGATGGGGTCTTTGAGCGATCCAAGCTCCAGATGCTGGAGAATATCAACCTGGCAAGGAATCGATTTGAATATGCCCCTCTGAATGCCCTGCAAAGGCAATTCTTCTTTGTGTCCTCTGTGGATTTGAGCTACAACAAGATCAAGGAGCTTCCCGGAGACGATAGCATCATGGTGAACATCAAGAGGATCGATCTCTCGTTCAATCCCCTGAGTCCCAAGGCAGTGCACAATGTTCTCAATGAACCCAAAACCGTGAGGGAACTTAGTTTGGCGGGAACTGGTATTGAGAAGTTGGAACTCCTGGAGACACCCTTCCTTCAGTTCCTGAATCTCTCCCACAATAAGCTGAGAAATGTAAAACCAGAGGTCTTCCAAAGAGTGACCCTGCTGGAAACTTTGGACCTCTCCAGCAATGAGTTGGAATCCCTGGATGATCTCTCCATGGCTTGGCCTCAACTGCAGGTGCTCCAGTCCCTGGATGTGTCCAACAACAGCTTTGAGATCGTCTCCCAGTCCAACTTTGGTAAGCTGGAGATGCTGCGTTCCCTGCGATTAAGCCACCTGCCCCAGTGCACCAGGATCGAAAAGAATGCTTTTAAACAGCTGCCCAACCTGGTCAACTTGGAGGCCTATGATCTTCCCCTGCTTGGCTATCTGGATCTGCAGGGCATCCTGGAACTGCTGCCCGGTTTGGAAGTCCTGGACATTGAAGTTAAGGACTCCAGCATTGGCAGCGAGCAGATCCAGCCCTGAAGCATCCGCGTCTCAGGAGTCTGGGAATCAGAGGAGAACGATTGAAGTCAATTTCCTCGGGAACTTTGGCGGGTCTGAAGAGCAGTGATCTGAGTGTCCAGCTGAGGAACACATCCCTGAGTGCCCTGCCACCAGCTCTGCTGTTCCAGTGCCCAGATCCTCGCACCTCAACCTGGATGTGGAGGGATCCAAGATCTCAGTGCTGGTGCCCCAGTTCCTGAATGCTCTTGAGGATCGCCGAGCTAGTCTGCAGCTGCAGGGTTTGGCCAGCAATCCTATAAACTGCGATTGCAATGCCAGAGCTCTCCGGAGGTGGCTTCCCAGCTCTGGAATGCCGGATGTCACTTGCGCCGCGCCAGCCTATCTGGTCAACCGGAAGCTCATCGAAGTGGGGGATGATGAACTCACCTGCGACGCCCGCAGGATGACTTCCTCCACCTCCAGACCCACTGCCCCAGTGCCGCATCTCCTGAAGACCTCCAGCCAGCTGGTCACGAGGAGTAGCTCCACCACCGAGGAACCCCTGATCATCTGGAGCCTGGAACCCACACAGCCTCCGAGCCTGAAGAAGATCAAGACCAAGGCCCCGCTGATGAAGGCCCAATCCCCGATTATAAGTAATGATGACACTCTGATCATAGGCATCGTGGGAGGCGTGGTGGCCTTTATAGCCATCCTCATCATCATCATCTGCATCATAAGGCTGCGCATGAGCAATGCGGAGTACCAGCAGAATGCGGCGATGATAGGCATCCCGCGGGCATGCAAATGGGTGCCCACAATGCGGCTATAACTACAAGAATGGAGCGGGAGCAGCCCTGTATGCGGTGCCTCCTTACCAGGCCAGCTATGCCACGCTGCCGCACAAGGCGGCCTCTATCCACCAGTCCAGCCAGAATCTCTCCCAGCGCCAGCAGCGGGAGCAGCAGCAACAGCAGGTGGCAGCGGCGGCGGCGGCCTACTCGACCATGTCCCGCATGTCGTACTTCAGCGGCGCGGGCGGAGGAGGAGCCGGCGGAAATGGCAATGGCGATGGGGCAGAGAGCCTCACGCATCAGCATCCGCACCAGCATCAACCCTATATAATATACTCGGATGACAAGGCCTACAGATAAGCCGAGATCGAGGGCATCTTCATCTTTCCCACTCCTCCTCAACCGCCTCCTTCTACATTCTGTCCATTTCAATCTCAGTCAGTCAGTCAGGCGCATCGCCGCAAACAGGTTCTACATTATATCGCCGCTCTCAGCCAACGTTGTATATAGACTTAAACAAAAAACACTTTAACTGTAACCCTAACTATATCTATGTCTAACCATAATTAAGTGCAAGCAAGTCGCTTATGCGGAATAAACAAATTTAGTATAATACACATTTGAGTTTGTTTGCGGGGTGGGGAAGTCCCAATCTATTTGCCAGCTGTCTATCAGGTATGTCTACGGAATTCCAAAACTACAGTTTACCTCTACTTTTTAACTAGGTCAACTATCAGTTATATAAAAGATCAATGTTTTAGATCTTTAGATTTTTGACGTTATTAATTTGAACTGACTAATAAATTCCTCGGTGATTATTATCTTTCCTACCTACAGAAGCAATTTATTACCTATCTTGACTTGAATTGACTAACGTTCACTTCTAATATGAATTTCACTGGTATGCTTATCACGATTTTCTTTAAATAACAAGAAAACCTCTTTTTTCCAATTAACAACTGGCTTTTAAGAAACTTCTTATCTAACAATATTATTGGGTTCTTCCTGTAAACCTTAATAACAAAAGAATTCGATTTGAGCGACTTTAATACAATAAATTTATCATACAAGATAATTTCATAAAAATGTATATGTGTATAAATATGTTATGTATATATGTATGCAACTTCAAGATCGCTATTCACAGTCTTTGTATTCCATATCTTTCACTGAATAACAACAAAACCAGTTATCATTCCACTTTAAATGCAAATAAACATTTTGTGTGTTTTTTCAAATGCACAAACTTAAACTAACAAAACTAATCAATACAAACAGACTTTGTGTGAAATGCACGCCTTAACTAAGTAGTAACCACAATAAACAACAACTGTCGTCCGAGTCTGGCCGTTTCACTCAGGAGCAACATAGGCCAGTACCAAGAAAAAGCAAATCACTTTGGCAACTTGAGAGCTTGGTAGTGCCTTCCACCACATGATATAGTTATCCAGCTAGGCCATTTGAGAGTACGAGGTATACAGCTTATAGTTGCGACGTCGGTAGTAGATCATGAGGCCATAGCTGGCGAACAGCAGAGCGATGACGATTAAAATGAGTATGCCTGATGGAAGATCGATAATGATTTAATTCCATTAGACCGCAATCACCATTTACTCACCCGTCGCCGTGCCCAGATTGGCCTCCTCATAAGTCATCATCATTGTGGTGCGCTTGCATTCACGCTCCCAATCCACTGGCAGCACGTCTGATAAAGGTTGACAAGTTTCTTCAGGGGCAGGAAGGACCACAGCCTGGAATGTCCAGAGGCAGGGGTTCGGCGGTGGTGTTCTTGTAGAAAATGGACACCAGTGGCGTGTTGCTCTCATCCAGACGCATCTCCATTAGTATGCAAGCCGCGTAGGGAGGACTATGTATCTGTGGGATAAGAAAATATGTCTATAATCGCTAGCTCATCCAAATTAACTCATACGATTACCTCGAACAACTTCAGGGCATTCAAAACGTTGGCTATGGTGGTATCATGGGCACTATAGACCCACATTGAACGATCTGGGTCTAGGCGCCTGGAGGATTTCTCTTCGAACCGCTTGAAAATGTCTTTCAGCAGAGGACCCGCCTTTAGCCTGGCCAGCTTTCGCGTGTAAGTGCTGATAACAAAAGCGAAATTGGCTACATAAGTAAGCTCTTCGCCACCGTAAACCTTTTTAGTCCACTCCGGAAGTGTCATGTTGTACAGATTCTCAATGAACAAGGTGTTGTTTAAATACTGGGCATCCACGAAGGTCTTAACTGAGCGTCCAGCTTTTTCGCTCAAGTAGGCAAAGAGATCACGGTGTTTTTCGGTCATGGCCTTGAACTCTGGCGAGGATTCCAGGGTGGCCAGCTCGTAGTCGAAGGCGGGGCAGGGAGCCTTGGCGGCCAGGATGGGATCCTCCTTCTCGGGCGTCGTGTGAATGGGTATGGGCTGCCATTTGATGTCCGCGTTCCAGATGTCTTCACCTTGGGGCTCATACAGACCAGCCAGATTGGACTGGGCACTCATAAGGGTGCGATCCACATCGGTGGATTGCACAAAGATGTCCTCGTTGGAGTATTGGGAGGGCAGGAGGTTGGAATAGCGATTCCTCAGCCATTTGCCCAGGTCGTAGTGGTCTTGCTTACCAAGCTGTAGGGTTTAAGTTGGGTTTAGCCTGGGTTTAATCTAGGTTGATCCCCATTTAGAGTCACTTACATTGGTCAACTGACCCCAGCCGGTGGACCAGAACTTCCTCTCGCCCCAGGGGTCCGTGGGATACGGATCCACGGGCGTTCTGTCGCCGTGGCGATATATCTACAGAGCATAAAACCGATATAGCAGGGGCTCTCCACCAAGACAAGCGAAACTCTTACCACATGTACGAACTTCAGTTGGCCAGGCAATGTGGCCAACATGTCTGGTGGCTGACCTTCGGCATTAGCATAACCGTGGAGGGCATTGGCCAGTCCGAAAGACAGCACACATAGCAGGGGGATCACGATGAGGCAGCGCTGGCGGAGTTGGTTCCACATTTTCAAAGCTACACTTGTTACAAGTGACCCACAGCGACTGCGGGAAAACATATGTGAGCATTTGTGGATGCCAGCTATGGGGTTTACGGCTATGTGGGGGGTATATCATGCCCTTACCTCAACCGTATAACTGGCGATCTGGTCGTGCGTCGTTTGCATATATACACTTGGCAGTCTGAAGTTTAGGAAATTTCAGTTTTCCTTGTTTATAAAATTTTGGAAACAAGTTTGATAACCACACACAAAGCTTTGTTCCCCCGATAACGATTATTCGTCGCAGGCAACCCTGGTTCGTAACTGTAATGCCTTGGCGGGCAGTTTGAAAGTTTAAACGGATTTGGTATTTATGATTGTATTGATTGACTCGTCGTATCTAGTTGCACACAAGTAATATGGTTATTTAAGTATTGCATAAATATCGAAACAGTCTTAACTACGAATAACAAATATACTGTTGATGTTGGTCTTAAGAGTACACGGCTATAGGACAAATTAAAAGAAAAGTCGTCGTTGTCTTAACTAAAAGATTCTGCGCGCGAAACAATGAAAAACAAAATTCGGCTATTACATTATGAATTGGAGTACACGAGGACTGGCAAACATCGTAGTGGCGTTGCACTTGCTTAAAATCTCCTATTACCGCCCATATTTGGTCCGGGTCTGGGTCCGCTAAAGCTGAAAGTTAAGTTTACCATAGATTACTTTGGGCTATATGGTATGGTTAAAGCTGAACCCACCGGTTTCTTTGGCCTGGCGCTCCGCCTCCGGTGCCCAAAGGCGGGAACTCCGAGTGATATGCATTCATGCCATTCTGATTGTGACTTTTACCCCCTGCTCCGCCGCGTTTGTTTGGGCCTCCACCGCCGCCGCCTTGTTGACTGTTGGATTCGTGGCTGCTACCACGTCTGGCATTAAAGCCTCCACCACCGCCCCCATTAAAGAAGCCACGTCCTCCTGGAGGATTGCCCCTGTTGGGAGGAGGTACAAAATTGTAAGTATTATGAGGTGCAATCTGATATACAACTTACCCATTGGCACCGCGGTTGCCCGAATTCATGGGCCCGTTGCCAAAGCGTCCAAAGCCCATTTGCTGCTGCTGATGCTCTACGGGCAAGGCAAATCCCCGGCGATCCTGTCGCACATGATTGCCTCCTGATCCTCCGCCGCCACCGCCCCTCTGATGCAGGGATCCTCCTCCCCCGCCAGAGGAGCTGCCCCCATGGAAGTCATTATTACTGCCTCCGCCGTATCCACTGGTCGGACTGTTCTTGAAGTTCCTCCTCCCAGCCTGAGATCCATTGTTGTCCCGCTGCTGAAACCGACTGTTGCCAAAGCGTCCGTTTCCCTCGTTGCTGCCGCCGAACTTGCCACCGGTTGCAAACTTGTTCCTAAATCCTTGGCCCTGGCTGGAAGATTCATTGCTGTGTTGTGGTGGTCCCTTGGAGTAGGGAGCACTGCGCTGTTGTCTGTAGTTAGATTCATTCCTTACGGGTCCAAATTTGTTTGCGGCGGCGTTGGAACCCCTTGACCGCCGCCTTCGCTGGAATATCGGCCACCGCCGGCTTCTTCGCGGAAGCTGCGCTTGAAGTTGTTGCCGGATTCGGGAGGTCTCTTGTCAGATCCGCCACTTTGACCTGGAGGGGAGGATGATTTAGACGATGCATCTTGGGAGTGTGTAATAGCCTACTCTCTGAGGGCCTGCGACCCGGATTGTCACCAGAGCCCGGAGGACCGCCACGACTGCCATTCCCTGGGCCGTACTTCGGCCTGCCCGCCTCCACCACGATGGGCTGGCCCTTGAAGACGGTGCCGTTCAGGGCGGCGATGGCCGCATCTGCCATTTCCGTGGTCTCCAGGTGGACGAAAGCGCACCTGTTCATCACATCGCATTCGACCACGGAGCCATAGTTGGAGAACAGGCGACGCAGTTCGTCCGGCTTGCAGCGCGGCAGGCTGCCGACGAACACCTTGGCGGTCTGCATGGAGAAAGCTAGCGGATTACTCTGGACAATCCGGCGGCGGCTGCATCTTCAACGCTTACGTACAGTAGACATGTATTTATTTTTCTCTACAACTTTTCGCCTTTTTTCTTCTTTTATTGAATTGGAGATGGTACAATCTGATGGTCCACCTGACCGATTGGCAAACCCCCTCAATAGCTGGTAACTACAATCGCTATCGATATCGATAGACCCAAGCCTTTGCTGTTGTTTACAATTTAAATAATTTGAATAAATTACGCTTTTCACCCGCGATAACTGAAATGTGGCCTCCGGGGAGCGACGATAGCTACTCCGGCAACATGGACTACGGCAAGAACGTGGTGAACATCCTGCCCAGCGTGGAGATGCTGGTGAGCTTCAATGGCGACATGACGCGTTCCAATAAGCGGGCTTGTTTACTGTACGCGGAGCGGATGGATTTCAAGGAGCTGCTGGTGAGTGAATCTGGATAGGATGTAGTTAAGATCTCATTTATTCCCCTCGCCCCACAGCAACTCCGTTTGGTGGAAAAGTCAGATCAGCGGCGCATGTACATAACCACCGTGGACGGCGCCTCCTTTCAGGAGCTCAAACAGGATCAGTCGCTGAATGTGACCTTCTCGGGGTTTCTGGACAATGTAGTGCGCATGCTGAAGGACTGCCAGTCGGGCAAACTGGAGCTCCACCTGTCTGGCAGAGATCAGAACATCTCCTCCGGCCGAGAAACACACGACTACCATCTGCAATTTGTGGAAATAAGGTCCTTCAAGAACCTGGTTCACCTCAGCCTGCCCTGCCGCTCCGCTCCCCTGAACACCGTGCTATTCTACATAAACAAAATGCTAGATGCCTCCCAAAAAAAGCAATTTATGCTGGAGCAGAGTATCCAGCAATGCAGGTGGAAATCAACTCACAACGCGTGCACACGGAGAGATTGGGCACCGAGAACAAAAACCTCAGGGAAGCCATAGCTGATAACACTCGCATGTTGGAGGAGAAGCATGCCGCCGAAATCCAGCAGTACCAGGATAAATTGGCCAAGGTAAACGAGCAGCGCGGCAATGAGCTGGAGCGGAATCGTAGAGCGATCTCTGGCCTGCAGGCGCAAATTGAAAAGGCTTCCCTGGAGAAAGCTGACCTCAAGTCAGCACAAGAGCAGGCCGAGCAGCGATGTCAAACACTGGGAGAGGAGCTATCCTGTTGCAAGTCGCGAGTGTGCACCTTGAAGGAGCAGAATGACAAACTGCAAGGGGAGCTAGCCAATGCCAGAAAGCAGGAGCGCAAGTTGGAGTACAAGATTGAGGATCTTAAGCAGCACACAGCCGAACTGCAGGAGCACATACAAAAGGGCAATAAGGAGAAGGTACGTTTGTAAGAGGACATAACACATTAAAAGACTAAAACCTTAATCCTTCGTAGGCCAACCTATCCGCTGAACTGGAGGCGGAGAAGAAAATTTTGCACACCAAGCGACAGGCCTTGGAAATGGCCTCTGAGGAAATCTCCAAGGCCAACCAGATAATCCTCAAGCAGAGCCAGGAGCTGCTCAACCACAAGAAGACCATTGCCTGGCGCACCGAGGTGGCTCTGCAGCAGGAAAAGGCCGTCCAGGCCAAGGACAGTCTGCTAACCCTGCGCGAGGATGAACTGCGTGAGGCACGTATAACCATAGAAAAACTGCGCGAGGAAATCCCCCAGCAACTGCAATCTATGAGAAACTTTGCTCAGAGCTTAGAGCAGAAGTATTCCAAACGTAGGTGATTAGTCATCGTATGATTTCTGTCACTTATACCTGGCTCCTTTCAGAGATCCTCATCCTAAAAGAAAGGTTATCTATTCCCACTGGAAAGGAAAATCGTAGATAGTTCAACTTATTGTTAGTGCATTTCTCGTTTTTGTACAAGTTTAGTAAAGTTAGTTGTATTGTTCGGCTCTAGTCATAATCTTCGTGGACACTTTCACCTGCATGGGCAGTGGCCACGTTCACCGCCTGGCTGATGTCCTCGATTTGGTTCAGTTTCAGCCGCTCCCGAATGAGTTCCGCAATGGCCTTTTGGGTGCGTCGTTCCAGTCGCTCCAGCTTCTTGCTGGCATCCCGTTTGAGATCCCAGTCGGGCTTCCTAGGTGCCAGGTTGGATATATCAATCTCATCAATCACCATGGGCTGCTGCAGCAGACTCAGTTGGTCTTCCACAGCGGTTTCTATGTTTCCCGTAGGCTCCTGGGTCAAAACTTCGCCTTCAGTGCTCTCATTCTGTGGTTTGTAGCTCCGAAAAACGGGTCTGTAGGGTGGATTATATAGTTTCATAGAAGATTCTCATTAAATCTTTTAAAATTACTGACTTGGGTAACTTTTCATTGAGCTCCGACGAGTCTCCTCCTTTATTCTGCGCTTGTTCGCGGAGTTTTTGTAGGCGTTCTTTGCGTTTCAGAGAGGCTTCTGTCAGCTTGCCCACGCCATTGTTGTCCATGATGCCCATAAGGTGTTTATGGTCGAAATAATTCTATATATCTTGTGATTTCTTCAATTTTAGCTGAGCCGATCCGCGTTTTGTTATTGTTTTGTTGATGTTTGGCCCTCGATATATCGATAATTATTGCCTTCGTCACTAGCGTAAAAACTTTAAAATAATTTAACATTTTTTGTTCTTTATAAATAAATATAAATATTCTTATTTTCACATTTATTAAGATTACTTTAATTAAGAAATGAAACTGCAAGTATTAATACTTTAAAATAAATAATTGTAGTGACGAATGCCAACTTCACTTTTCGTGTCCCACCCAAACGGTCTCACTGAAACCCATAAAACTATCGATTAATCGATTGCGCCCAAGATGGATACACAGCGTTTGTTTTTACGCGAGGGGGAGGAAAATCTGCTGTACTTTTGTGAGCTTTAAACAAACAAAACAGGCATACTATTCCATGGAAGTGGACTCTGCATCCTTCCAGCACCTCTAGGCACCCCTTCCAGCCAGATGCGGACAGTCCCGTCCAGCCAATAGGCGGAGAGACCTCGACATCGGCAGAGTGTGCCCCCAGCTGGTGTTTTGGAGTAGAGTAGCTAAAATAAACCAGAGCACAGCTCCCGCTCCCGAGCGAGTCCCGACCCGCCTCGACTCGAGGTAACTTCTGTGGGCTATTAATATTAGTGGCAGGCTAATTCCTTCGCCCTTCCCCGGCAGCAACAGAAAGGGATCACCCATTGTTCCGACACCGAAACGAGATTGCCCGGCCAGATCCGACAGCGATCTAAAAATGGAGTGGACGCGCGAAAAGACCCTGCTGCTGATCGGCGAGTACCGCAGCCGACGCGGGCTGTGGGACATGACTTGCGACGACTACCGGAAGAAGGACGTCAAGCAGCGGCTCTTGAACGAAGTCAGCCAGGTGCTGGGCGGGAATATACCCATTAACGAGCTGGAGAAGAAGTTCCACACGCTGCGCACGCAGTACCACCGCGAGATCAGTCGCATGAAACGCAAGGAGCCCTACAACTCCAAGTGGTTTGGCTTAAGAACCTGGTGTTCCTCAGCTCCCCCTACGCCTGCCGCTCCACCAAGGGTCGCCTGAAGACGGATCTGCAGGCTGACGAGCGCAAGTTTGCCCTGGGAGAGGTAACCGCCGATCACAACAGCGACAGCAGCACAAATCCGGCGAACCACAACAGTAATACGAACGCCAGCATGAACGAGGAGTACCTGCGCAAGAGCCACGCCAGCAGTCGGGCCCAGGAGCTGGAGAAACTCATTGAGGAGACAACCAAAGACGTGGACGATATCGATGAGCCGGATTGGAGGAGGGGGAGGTCAAGCCCAAGCAGCCCAAGGAGATGAGCGTGCGCTTCGTAAATCTCAGCGACCCGGACGAGACTGAGCCGCTGGATAACCACCACCAGACGCTGATGGACCTGCACCACCACCAGGGCAACACCGTGGAGGCCGTCAGCTTTCAGGCCAACGAGAGCGGCGAGCTGCACTACCAGTCCACTCCAGCCCAGAACACGGGCAACAACAACTCGGTGCACGTGATGCCCACACGAATCATCAAGATTCAGCGCCGGGACACGGCTGGCGGGCAAGAGGAAAGCTACTTCGAAGAGCACACGCAGCTGCATCCGCCGCCGGTGAAGCGCGTGTACTACGAAGCCAGTCCAGCATCGCACAGCACCACCTCCATTCTTTCCCCGGCACTGGAGACCAATGCCAACGGCACGACCAGCAATGTGCTTACCAACTCCCCCGGGATCACGATGAGCAACCTGCGCCTGCCCAAGGTGAACACGCCGCCCAAACCACCCCAGGCCCAAGCCATCCCCAGTCCGCCTCCGCCCACCATTGTCAGCCTGCCGCCGGCGCGCGATGAGTTCGCCACGTACGGAGAGTATGTGGCCAACGAAATGCGCGCCATCAGCAACCGGGAGGTGCTCGTCGCCCTCAAGCATCGCATAAACACGGCCATCTTCGAGGCCAACATGGCCGAAATAGCCCCGAAATAGATTGATCACTTTTAGCTAGAGCTATTAACTACAACTTTAGGTTTAAGGCTGAAAATGCAATTTGTCCTCTTGTCTTTGTGCTTTTTATAGGTCTCCCGTCACTTGTATTCTCATTTGAATTTGTACATTTAACAGATATGTATGTAACGTTTAAATACTTAAGCCAAATATAAAATTTAGTGGAATTACAAGCAGGCCTGTTTCAGTTTGTTTAGATTTACATAGATAAAATTTATTGGGTTGTTTTTTTTATTGTTTTTCAAAATGCAGAACCCCATTTGCGAGCCGTTCACAAGTTGGCCAATGAAGTTCGACATTAACCAACTGGTAAAGGAGTTCCAACCGGAAGAGAAGGGGGGCGTGGTGGACGAGGATAAGTCGCCACGGGACTTTGTCAATCTTCCCGACAACAATTGGGTGGTCCTGCCCAGTTTTAAGTACCAGTTTGAGCATCTACTCCCTATCTCTCCACTCGCCTCAACAAATATATGCGATGTCGCTTCCGGAGGTTTCTGGACAATGTTCCGAGCAACTACGTAACCATCTCCCTGTACGGCTCCAATATTAGCAAGTAAGTTATTTATAAAGTATACTCAAATATCTTCGTTTTACTATAAAAACCTTGTAATTTAGCATGCCCAAGCCAAGACGAAAGAGTCTAAATGGTCAGTTTTACGGAGTAGATAACAAACTGGCCCAGTTCCTGCCGTTGCCGATCCCCGATCTCCCCCGCATCGAAAATAATAGTATTTACCTATTATAATGAAAATCAGGACAAAATTTCAGATACAAAAAATCAATTTCTGAATCAGCTTTACAATATTAAAGTGTAAATTAAATAAACCTAATTTTTTGGCTACTTTATTATTGTTTTGTTATACTAACCATTAATAACGGTTTCAATTTGAATTCGGAGGTAGCGTTACCAGATCTCAGAGATTGTGTGCAGTTTAGTGGTTTTTTCCTGCTTTTCACAGAATTTTTTCAAAAAGATATGTTTGAAACCAGTACTCTCCCAAAAGTAAAATACATAAAAAACTTGAGACCCTTAAAACTTAAGGATATTGCCAGACTGTCGCAATTTGACAGGACCTTTTTACTCCCGTTATTTCATGTGGTAAGTTTCTAACGGTTCGCAACGGTTACACTGCAAACGGTAAAAATCGATAATGCAGAATTAGCGGGCGAAGAAAATGTTTACAAAATGCATTAGTTGCTGTTCCCTCGCTATATTATCAGTTTTCTTCGCCTGCCTTCTAATCGAGAATTGCGGTGAGATCAGGAATAACCCAGGAAAAGTAAAGATTTTCATGGTGCATCCTTTTTCCTGCCCTTTTAGTGGCCCTGCAAAAGACGCTGCGGCACTACGAGATTTTCCACAAGGACGATGTGGTGCACAGGGTGGTTAAAAGGGGGGCCAAGCACAGCGCGAATCCTTTCAACACCATCAAGGAGGTGGAGTTCACCACGCTGGCAAGAACTTCCGACTGATCCTCCATCCGCACAGGGATGTCCTGCACAGCAAATTCAGGGCCTATGCGGTGGATGCGGATGGCAATGAAACGGTGGTCCACATGGGTAGGATTACTGTCCTATACTCCATTATATATACCTAAATATCTCATCTTCTTAGATCACGATAGCTTCTACTCGGGTCGGGTGTTTGGCGAACTGGAGTCCTCCGTGAGGGCTCACATCGAGGACGGCACCATGACCATGTCCATCCATTTGCCCGAGGAAACCTATCACATCGAGCCCTCCTGGCGACACCTACCCGAAGCCAAGAAGGACACCATGGTGGCCTACAAGGCCTCGGATGTGAAGGTCCACAAAAACGAGGCGGGTGCCAGTCCCAAAACTTGTGGCTACATTAAGGAGGGTCTCGAACTCGAAGACAAGGAGGAGCACGGGGACACCTTAGACAATGAGCTCCATACGAGGGAGAAGCGTCAATCGGATCAGTATGAATACACGCCCACCAAGACCCGATGTCCTTTGCTCCTGGTGGCCGACTATAGATTCTTTCAGGAAATGGGCGGAGGCAACACCAAGACCACCATAAACTACTTGGTATGATCCAAAAAGATTATCCTATGATAATCTAATAACTTATAATTTTCAGATAAGCCTCATAGACCGGGTGCACAAGATCTACAACGACACAGTGTGGCAAGATCGTTCGGATCAGGAGGGATTCAAGGGCATGGGCTTCGTGATCAAGAAGATTGTGGTCCACTCTGAGCCCACAAGGTTGCGAGGCGGCGAAGCCCACTACAATATGATCCGCGAGAAGTGGGATGTGCGCAATCTGCTGGAGGTGAGTTGAGCTAATCTTCGTCCCTCCACTTTTCGAGTAGCTGCTCTTCCTCATGGTCATCTAACTCTTGTATCTCTCACTCTGATTCCGACTCCCCCGTGGCCATTTTATCGGCTAGGTCTTCTCCCGGGAGTACAGCCACAAAGACTTTTGCCTAGCCCATCTCTTTACCGATCTCAAGTTCGAAGGCGGCATTTTGGGCCTGGCCTACGTGGGCTCCCCGCGTCGCAACTCCGTGGCGGCATTTGCACTCCAGGTTGCTAAACCCACTAACTGTCATATTTGTCCTTTTCATTTGGCTTATAGACTTGCGTTTCCCTTGGTTTTCCTTTGTTATTTAAGTTTTACGATTTCCTTTTAAATGGTGAAATGCAAATCTTAAGATTTCTGCAACACCCTTATATGTTTTCACCTTTCAATAACCTATTTTCTGCTTCCCATTTCCAAGAATACTTCAAAAACGGTTACACCCTGTATTTGAACTCGGGTCTGAGCAGCTCCCGGAATCACTACGGCCAGCGGGTCATCACCAGGGAAGCGGATCTGGTCACTGCCCATGAGTTTGGACACAATTGGGGGTCAGAGCATGATCCCGACATTCCAGAGTGCTCACCCAGTGCCTCACAGGGCGGCAGTTTCCTCATGTACACGTACTCCGTCAGTGGCTACGATGTGAACAATAAGGTGGGGTTTAAGCACGTTAAAAATACCCTTAATACAATGTTTCCTCATTCCTTTCCAGAAATTCTCTCCCTGCTCCCTGCGTTCCATCCGTAAAGTGCTGCAGGCCAAGTCGGGGAGGTGCTTCTCCGAGCCAGAAGAGTCCTTCTGCGGCAATCTGCGCGTCGAGGGCGATGAACAGTGCGACGCTGGACTCCTGGGCACCGAGGACAACGACTCGTGCTGCGACAAGAACTGCAAGCTCCGCCGGAACCAGGGAGCCATGTGCAGCGACAAGAACTCGCCGTGCTGCCAGAACTGCCAATTCATGGCCTCCGGGATGAAGTGCCGCGAGGCCCAGTACGCCACCTGCGAGCAGGAGGCTCGCTGCACAGGCGCCCATGCCGAGTGTCCCAAATCGCCGGCCATGGCGGATGGCACCACCTGTCAGGAGCGCGGACAGTGCCGAAATGGCAAGTGCGTGCCGTACTGCGAGACCCAGGGTCTGCAGAGCTGCATGTGTGACATCATCGCGGATGCCTGCAAGCGCTGCTGTCGCATGAGCATCAATGAGACCTGCTTCCCGGTGGAGCCACCTGATGTCCTCCCCGATGGCACTCCCTGCATCACTGGCTTCTGTAATAAGGTAAGCCTGGGAAGCCTTGTGATTGCCTAGATATTATCTTAAACTCTGTTTTCTTGAAGGGAGTCTGCGAGAAGACCATTCAGGATGTGGTGGAGCGCTTCTGGGACATCATCGAAGAGATAAATGTGGCCAAAACCCTACGGTTTCTCAAGGACAACATTGTCAGTAAGTATTGCAAACAATTACATACCAATATTGGAGACATATTAAATTCGTATGAGTAATACTTATTTAATCTAGTTAAGATATAATACATATTATTGAACCAAAGTGTAACATATATCACTCTTTCAGTGGCCGTTGTCCTGGTCACCGCAGTCTTTTGGATACCCATCAGTTGCGTCATTTCTTACTTCGATCGCAAGAAGCTGCGCCACGAGATGAAGCTGATTGAATGGAGCCAGAAGTTGGACCTTATACATCCCAGTGATGAGAGGCGACGGGTGATTCACATACGGTAAGGGCAAAAATACTTATAATACCATAATTGAATAACCGAAACTATTCTGTACTATTTTAGTGTGCCGCGCCAGAAGATTTCGGTTGCTCGAGCCTGTAACTAGCACAAAAAACCCGGTGGGTTCTTATTTTTAATCTTCCGTGAGCATTATTCTCAAAACTGCCACAAATTCGTTTGCATTAAGTAACATATTTGAACAAACACAACACATAAATGAATAAAATTCCATATACTATAGACCAAATACACAATTGTCATTATAATTGAATGGTGTCTGTAAATCAGTTTTTGTTTACATATTAATAGTCTTAAAAAAAGAGCTTCCTCGCTTGGTTTTTGTTACCTTACTGGATTTTTTTATTTTTTCGGATCATTTAGTTAGCTTACTGGAGTGTTATGTATTTCTACTTCTTCTGTTTGCTCTTGCCGTTCGTCTGTGGGGCAGCCTCGTCATCCAATTCCAGTTCGCTATCATCCTCCTCATCAGAATACTCCTCGTAAATTTGACCGTCGTCGAACTCGCCAAAGTTCATCTCCGCCTGAACAGTAAGGAAGCAAGTAAGTACTAGAAACATAGATGGACAGATGGAACTCACCTTGCCACAGACGTAGACGGGTCCAGTGCCCTGCACCAGTTTGAAAGTCACTGATCCGTTGGGGAACTCGACATTTGGCCTTAAGCTACGGGTTTCGCCGACCTTCAGTACGGCAATGGGAATCTTCACCGTCTTCTTCTCGCCATCGTCGTTTATGTTTGTCTCTGCCTGGGAAATATAATAATTTACGTTAGTCCTGGACTTGTTTGAGTAAAAAGAAGAGGATATCGAAATCCTACATTTTGTATGTCGATTTCTGGTGGGGTGCATATTTATGGAAAATAATTTTAAATGATATTAATAAAATGAATTAGAATAAAATTCGAAAGTGATATTTGAAATATTTTTTCTGTTAGATATTTGAAATATGAGCTTGTTATTAGAGGTTATTAAGGTAGATTGACGTGTTTCTTAAAAATGATGTTTGGTAAATGAAAAGTTGGTAGGTTTAGGATATATTAAATAAGAAGAAAACATCCTCAACACAAGATAACCTCATCGGCCATTAAAATTCAAGAAGAGGTGTACATACAATGGTATGATAGAAAATGCTGTTCTGTGATTTACGACCACAGGCGGCTCAAGATAATCCCCTTTAGCTGGGCTCACCTGTACAACGTTGAATTCGCCGGACTTTGCCTCGGGCCCGAGGGAAATCTGTTTGATGATGAGCTTGTGGGAGTGGACGATGTATTCCTCCGGTATATCCGGCACGTCGAACTGTGCGATGGGCTCCTTCTCGCTGAGTGTAACACCTGGAAATGGAGAAGTGCAGGAGGGTTGGATCGCTGACTCGTTTTTATGCCGGCCGGAGGAGCAGCCATGTAAGATCCACCTGGGATCGCCATTGCAGCGCCCCCCAACCAAGACAGGCCCGGTACACTCACCATAAAACGACTCGGACTCCATTTGCAGGCCTTGGAACACAGATGTACAGTCAATTAATAATGGAAACTTTTTGTACTTCTACACGTGCCCGTAAAACGGCGATGGCTGCAGTTCTATGAAGCGTTGGTTATCGAAGCGTGCAGCTATCGATAGTTGTGGTTTGCTTGTTTAAAAGTGGGTGTACTAAATTAATATGTATAGAAGTAATCTTGAAAATTCCTTACGTTCTGTATATGTATTTTTTAGACATTACTTTAATAGTTTTAAGGGATATTTTATGTAAAAAGTGGCAGCGCTACGATATTTACCGCTGGTACGAACCTATCGATACTTCGGCTTTACCTACGCCTGGCAACCCTGCTTCAGCTACCATTTTGCAAAAGATTTTTGCTCAACACGTGTTCGCCGCTGGTTTCGTGTGGAATTAATATTAAATATTACCTACAATGGCTGAGGAATCATTCTACGGTAATTAAAATTCAAAAGACCAACTGTATGGGCAAAGAAATGGGGTGAAAGCGGCCCGGGAGACGGGATAATAGCCGGCGAAAAAGCGAAGTGTCTGCGACGCTTGCCGGTGTTTTTGCTCCAAGGTTGCCGCTGTCTGGCCCCACACTCCCGGATTTGGGATATGTGATGTGCGAAAAAGATGATTAATGGATAATATTGTGTCCCTTTCGCAGGAGTCACCTTGACCGCCGAGAGCGACAGCGTCACGTGGGATGTGGACGAGGACTACGGTCGCGGCCAGAAGCTGGTCATCAAACAGATCCTCCTGGGCGCCGAGGCCAAGGAGAACGAGTTCAACGTGGTCGAGGTGAGTACTCTATTTCCATGGTGATAGATTGTGGTATGGGGGGCATTGCATGTAATAAATCCCATAAGTTGTGTATGCGCGCGCCGGTTGCTGTCTGTTTTTTTGTAGCATTTTTCCGGCCGGCGGGGCAAGGACCGGTTTCCATTTCCTTTTTTTCCCAGTCCAGAACAACCACGAACTTTTCGCTCGCTTTTGGGTTAGGGTAATTTTGTCTGTACATCTGCAGACTGCAGAGTTAACAGCCCCCCGGTTTCAGACTGCTATTGCTGTACCTTAGCTATGGGAAGTGGTTAATTGGACTAGCCTCACATGCTGGGTTCATTTCAAGTACCTATGGGTACTGGTACACTAGGTACTTTATATTTTGTTTTTTGTGCTTGAATAAAATTGGTTTTATTTTTAGTCACATGTTTTAATTTTAATTCTTTTAATTAAGTAAAAGTTTTAAACTATGAGTTTTGTGAATTTCTATAGCATAACAAAACAATAATTTTCTCATAGTAAATGGAGCAAGTTAAAAACTTTGTTTTTTTAAACAGCTTATATATTTTTGAAATACACCTTATTAAAAAGATTTCATTACCCTACCCAATACGGACGCAACTGTACCCATAAATATACGACAAGACAAAAGAGCTCTCTTTATTGACTCAAGTCAACGGCAATACACGAAACGGCTGCCTCGCCATCCGCAATTGTTTGCATTAGGTCGGGAAAGCTTTTCGAGTACTTGAACATACTGCGCAGCTTCCTATCCATCCGGCAAATCACTCCCGCCGCCGGAATACTCCAGTTCCAGCAGATCATGTCGCACTGCAGCAGGGCGAGATCTTCGCGCAGCGATTTGAGGTTCTTTGTGGGGCAGAAAGAGAAGAGTTTCCGGGTCATAAGGTTATAAGGGCATTAATAAAGCCAGCACTCACCAAAGCCACTGTCGTGTCAATTGACGCGATCTCGTGCCCCTTAATGACCACCAGTGTGGTGGGGGCACCTCCCTCGTCGTTCCTACCCGTCACGTGCGACACAATTGAAATCTTCAAGTACTCGGCAGCGGCGTAATCCACGCTGCCCTTGAGGTCGGCCATGGTCACCTCGAGGCCATTGAACTAGGGGTATACCAAGGGAGATTTAGAAACCCTCTATGCCAGTTTATAACTCTCACCTTCTGGGTCTGCAAGTTAAACTGCGGCTTCATGCTCTTGTAGAGCAGGAAAAGTGCATTGAAGACAATGCCCACCACCATGCCGTACTCCAAGGTCCAGAAGACGCAGGTCAGCGCGGTGACCAGAAAAGGCAGCATATCACGCTCTGGGAGAGATCGCGAGTTATTGTTATGACTACGTACCATTTGAAGAGCACTCACTTTTTGCCCGCCAAATCTCGCCAATGGTCTCGTACTCCACCATAAAGAACATGGCTGCTATGATGATGGCAGCCAAAGTCGCCTTGGGAATATAGGCAAATGTGGATGTAAGAAACGCCAGGGTCATGATAACAATAGCGCCGGTAACAGCTCCTCCCAGCGGGGTCTCACTCCACTGGCATTGTTGATGGCCGTCCTTGTAAAGGATCCAGTGATCGGCATGGAGGAGAAGAAACTGCTGAGGATGTTGCTCACGCCTAAGGCAATCATCTCCTGCGAGGCGTCTACTATCTTACCCTTAGCTGAAAGCAGGAGATTGAGTTCGGGGAAACTAATATGAGAAAGGAGGATCACTCACAGAAAGCCTTGGCCACAGCTATGCTCTCCAATATGGACAGCAGTGGTATGGACACAGGGCAGATCCAATATTCGAAACCATGCCACCAAAGTTGATGACCTCTCCCGTCTCCGAGTCTTCGGTGTGGAAAGGAGGTGGCTTAAAGGGCGGCAAACCAGGAGTGATGCTGCCACTGACTAGGAAGGGAAGTTTGCCGTCACTTTTCAAGAGGTAGCACAGCAGGATTCCAATTAGCACGGCCACAGCATTGCGAGCCAGGGAAATATACTTCCACACGCTCTTATGCCAAAATGCAGGTCTTTGAGTTGCTAGAGTTAATTAAATATTTATAGAAGCGCTTGAATTAACATCATTTAAGAAATTTATAGCCACTCACCCTCATGAGCAGCAGGAGAATCAGTGTGCAGCAGCCCAAGATGGCATCATTTCGACGTGTCTGCGTTATGTGGCCGAAGAAGTATATCCAGCAGTCGAGGAAGCCATTGGCACTACTGCTAATTCCAAAGAGACTGTTAACCTGTCCCGTGGCAATGGTTAAGGCTGCTGCCATCGTGAACCCGTTGTCACCGGCACCGAAATAAATCGCATCAGCACTCCGAGATTGAGCAAACCCATTATGGTGATGACGCAGCCGGACAGGAAGCACAGGAGCACCGCATACGCTGGATTGCCATCCACATAGGGTCGCACCATTAGCGCCATGATGGCCGTGGGTCCTGTTGGATAAAGATTTGGATTATTTATCCAGGCGAGGAGCAGCTCCTAAGACCCCACAACTCACCAACTGTGATGTCCTTGCAGGTTCCTAACAGTATATACACAAATCCGCCCATAAACGCCGAGTAGAGTCCGTAGGCTGGTGGCAGATTGGCCACAGCTCCGTAGGCTATGGCCTGTGGAACGGCCGTAAGACCCACCGTGAGTCCCGCCACCAGATCCATAGCCAGGAAGCTCAACTGGTATTTGGGCAGCCAAACGGTGACTGGCAGGTATTTGTAGACAGAGCGCATGCTGCAGCAGCTCCGCGCCTTGGAGCCCACTGCCCCACAGACATTTGGCATGCGCTCCCTGTAGAGATCATCTGGAATGGACATATAGTTAGGCCATAGAATATGTGTACCCTGTGGAGTCTATTGATGAAATCTTGATATCCCTTGGTTAAGTGGTTTACTTGATTGGAAACGCTCTTTTCATAATCTCTGCACATGATTTGAAGTGCCTCGGTTTGGGGTCTTGTGACTTCTGGAAAAATACCTAAAGATGTCGACAAGCTGATAGACAAGTTCATCCAGAGGAGGCAGACTTGTCTCTGATATTTCAGCGCCAGGAACACTTGATAATTCTTCGATGTTAGCACTTTAGACTTTCTGATTTTTATGTCTCATATTATAGATAACTTTATTGAGTTGCCTTTAGTATCTTAAATATCCATGACTAGTTTTATATCTTCTGAATTTCTGTTATTCACTGGGGGAAGTTTACTTTATGATACCATCCTTGCTGATGGAGTAGTTCATCCAGAAGAAGCTGGCTTGTCATTGATAATTCCACTTTCGCAGCACTTAATAAATCTTCCAAAAATAACACTTTAAGCTTGTGGATTACCATGTCTAATTACAACTCATCACAGCGCATTTACCATAAATAAAGTAGGCGCAGACAACCTTAGTATCTTGGAGATTTATTTGTTAGTGCCCTATTATGAGCTTGATTTTAGTTGTTATAACTAGAAAACTTGAGTTTCTTTGGTTGTAATTTATTTGTATAACAGTTTCACTCTTTACTATTTTTCAACCCATTAAAGATTAGTTACTATTTCTGCGCTTCTAATATTGACTGAAGTTTCCTAGGAATCGCACCGCTTTCACTTATCCTCTTGAGGTAACGCGCTCTCACTTACCTTCACTATCGCACATGCCGACAAGATCTGGACAGCACTTTACGATCGCGAAATACTTGGTGGGAGTTTCGACTTGAATTACACGTTGTGGATGATTAATTAGCGGTCACTTGTTAGATTCGCGTTTTTGGACTTTATATTCGGATGAGCCTGTGCCTGCCGGCTGCCTGCAGTGGGAAAGGGAACGAACCGATCCGCTCCAGCGTGGGCAGACGAATGGTCAAGCGGCCGTCAGTCGGCGGGGTTATTACTGTAAAGCGAGTGTGCGAAATATGTGAATGCGTAGGTAGTTATCATCGGACAGTTGGGTTAGTTTTGGGGAAGGTGTTCGGGCTACGATAAGAGATAGACGCGAAGACTGCAGAGAGATTAAGTGGGCAAGTCGTGATGAACTCGTCGTATCTGTTTGTCCAGATCCGAAATTTTAGTGTAATCTGGGAACTCAACAACTATCTATGGGCACTTCAAAAGCCTATGGCAGCGGGGATCTATATGGGTCGATGTTGAGTGAGAATCTTGGTTTTTTAATGCAGGTAAAGACGTACGATTTAAAAACGATAAATAGATTTCCGACAAAACGTGACGAACTTCGTTGTATTTTGAAAACCTATCTATAAAACACTTCAAATGTCCATAGCACGAATCTATCTGAACCAATCTAAACAACAAATATTTTCGTTCTTTTCTACGCAGGTCAATACACTGAAAGACTCCGTGCAAATCCCGATCGCTGTGTTGAAAGCCGGAGAGACGCGCGCCGTCAATCCCGACGTGGAGTTCTACGAGTCCAAGGTGACGTTCAAGCTGATCAAGGGCAGCGGACCCGTCTACATCCACGGGCACAACATCAAGGACGATGTCGAAGTGGTCGACATGGAGGAGGATGATGAAGAGGACGACGTCGCCGAGGACGAGGAGGACGAGCACCCAAAGAAGCGGGCCAAGATCGAGAACGCCGCCGATGGTAAAAATGCCAAGAACAACAAGAAGAAGTAAACTGAAGCTAACCCGCCAATCATCCATCGAGGTTTAAGCTATGAAAGTGTAGATTTTAAAGCAAAAACAGTTTTAGGCCCTATATTACAATACGATGCATACTGAGAATACAATCTAGTTCCTTTTGAACAGCTCCTTTTACATTCAATTCAAAGACAACGTTGTGTGCTCGGGTCGTGTTATCCTAAGCGAATGGACTGCCACTCAGCCAGGAGTTGCATGGCTGCTCCCCGTTGGGAGCAGATAGGACACCAATCGAACACACAGATTTGTATATATATTAAAATATAACTAAAGCTAAGCCGGACTTCCTGTACGCGCCTCCTTCATATTTGCAGTATGAAAATAAACTGTCGTCGGAATACATACGATATGGCATTTCATTAGGCGGGAAATATTGTTAACATGTTATTTTTAAAACCAGCCTTCTAATTAATTTTCAGTTTTATTTCTCCCATGAATTCGTTACTCATCAATTGTAATTTCACATTTGGTAATGCTATAAGGGCTATCGTGACTGCAGTTCTATGAAGTGGATCAAGCGAGTTCGGGAATGCCTTCAAAGATTGCGGGTTGCTGCTCGGAAGTAGTTGGCTCTAGGAGTTCAGTGCTTAGTTCGGCGATGGCATGACCTTGATGCGTTCGAAGGCCTGTTTCTCCAGGGACTCGCGATGCTTGGGATCGGCGATCTGGATGAGTTCGTACATCCTCTGGCGAACGTTCTTGCCGAAAAGCGAGGCAATTCCGTGCTCCGTGACGACGTAGTGAACGTGGGCACGCGAGGTGACGACGCCAGCGCCTGGAAGGGATTAGGATTAGTAGTGGCTCTTCATCTTCGAAGGGTTGAACTACGTACCAGGCTTCAGCGTGGGCGAAATCTTGCTCTCGCCCTTGTTGGTAGTCGATGGCATGGCAATGATGGGCACTCCCAGTCCGTCGATACCCTCCGCCGCTCCACGGATGAAGTCCACCTGTCCGCCGAATCCGGAGTAGAAACGGTTGCCGATCGAGTCGGAGCAAACCTGACCAGTCAGGTCCACCTCAATGCAGCTGTTAATGGCAGTCATGCGGGGCTGCTGCTTCACAATGCTGGTGTTGTTTACATAGTCGATGGACAACATCTCTGAAAGGCGGAAGGTGGGTCATTAAATACGCTTTGAAATTTTTAAAAAAGCAGTTAAATTTCAGGATCTGCCTACCGATGAAGGGGTTGTTGTCCACAAAGTCATACAGAGCCTTGTCGCCGATTAGAAGGAGCCCACGATCCTGCCCTGGTGCATCTTCTTCTTGCTGTTGGTACACATCCCTTCTGCACCAGCTCGACGACGCCATTGGCGAACATCTCGGAGTGGATGCCCAGATCCTTGTGGTTGTGCAGGGCGGCGAGAACGGCATCAGGGATGCTGCCAATGCCCATCTGCAGGTGGCGCCGTCCTTGACCAGGTTCTCGGCAATCAGCTTGCCGATCTTCTTCTCCACGGCGGAGATCTCGCCAGTTCCGTGCTGGGGCAGATCATCGTTCACCTCGATGGCGTAGTCAAAATGCGACTTGTGGATGATGGCATCGCCGAAGGTGCGCGGCATCTTGGGGTTGATTTGAGCTGAAGACGACAAACCATTGAGTATGAGGATAAAGAGGATTCTGGAATTCAAGGCTCACCAACAATGAGCTTCGAGTGGAGCAGGGCAGCTCGCACACAATCGACGCTGGTGCCCAGGGAGCAGTAGCCGTGGTTATCCGGCGGCGAGACGTGGATGAAGGAAACATCGGGCTTCACGATCTTCTTGTAGAACAGCTGCGGGATCTCGTGCAGGAAGATCGGCACGTTGTCGCCACGTCCCTCGGCCACCGCCTTGCGCACATTGGCGCCCATGAAGAAGGAGTTCGAGCGGAAGATGTCCTTGTACTCCGGCTTGGCGTACTCCCCAGGACCCTCTGTGTGCATGTGGCACACAGTCACGCACTCCAGCTTGTTCTCCTTGCCGTGCTTGGCCATCGCGTTCAGGAGGCCACGGGGGTGGAGGCGGCTCCGCCAGCGAAGACCGTGTCACCTGGATTAGAAGAAAACCGCAGGTTTTACTACCCATAAGTTCATTTGGCACAAGTTGCTAATCAGCTAATCCGTAGATATTGTTCGTTTTATGAAACGTTAATCTATGGAGCATGCGTTATCTATAATTGACATGACATGAATACGAGAGCTTACAATTAAAGCTTTTCAATATTGCCAAATTATGATGCTTTAAATGAGAAGATAAGGAATTAATCTATAGGCAAGACATTGAACCCCCCTTTATTCTTACATTTCAAGTAACTTGTATGAAATTTTATCTGTACAGCATGAATATCATAAAATTTCATTTTAAACGTGATCTTCAAATAAGTGCTTTATATAGACTCTAAAACTGAACAAGTTTATAAAATTATTACAGTTTCTGAGTATTGATTCTTAAAATATATTATGAATAGTTTTTATAAAACGATATTAGTTTATGCTAATGTTGTAATTAAATCATTCCGATTGAAATAATTTATGTTGAGCTGGTCATGCTTCTATTAACAAAGTACAAATCTATAGGTTTCAAAGACTACTTGTGCCAATTTTTTAGTTTTTCGTTAATCATTCCCTCTCTTGGCGTTTATACTACGATAGTCTCAAAAGCTTTAAAGCTATAGCTGATACATGTATACAATCGTATTTATATTAGCTTGTAGAGAGTGAGCTTATTTTCCTGAAACTCGTGATAATGAATGTTTGTAAATAAATAACACCGGTTTCAGTGCTAGCATTACATGGTAAACATTTCTGACAACGAGATTAATTTGTAACGTATATAAATATTGCCATTTGATTATCAAGGCTGAAAGTATACCGTTAATTAAATAAAAGTTATCAGATAGAACTGTGTTAACTTGCAAATAGTTTGGATATAGTATCTAAAACATAGTGTTTACATGGATCATCCCGAAATTTAAATTCCATAATATTTATGTATCTACATTTTCCTTCAAATGCCCACTTTAATGCATTTCTAAGCACATGCATCATGCTTTGCCAATCTATTTTGGTTTCGCCCTCTAGAGGCCGGTATGCTGATGTATTTTGTACAAGAAAACAGACTAGAGCTAACAACTAAGGAAATCATACGATAAGTGTGATTCTTATCAGCAGAGTCTGAGCCACGTCGACAATGTCAAGTTTTCCTATACTATTTGTTCCTCATTAATATATATACTGTAGTTGCAAAACCGGAATGCACACCTTGCCCGTAAATTGAGTGAGGCCCACTGTGCCATATCTTCCGAAAACGTGCCAAAAGAAAAAGTTTTCCAAATCAAATTACGTCGCAGATTTGGCATGGTTCGTGTGCGATTTTGGCTAAATTAGAGATACCGATTTTTGGTGACGTTTGTGGGTCGCCGCGGTATGCCACTCCCCCTCTAAAGACCCGCCCCCGGCAATATTATTATCAATTCGCATGGACCTGCTGATGAGAGCCCCTAGAAGTGCTAAGAAATTAAGATATTTCGTGCCCTGTGGGCGTGTCCAAATATTTGTTTGGTTCTCAGGAGAACGCCAATTGAATTTAATCAAAGCAGAGGGTCCCCAAAAATTGTCAGGCACAGAAAAAAATCAGATCATTCCTATCTTTATAATCGACCATAAAAATGATCCTACCTTGTGTATCGTTGTGATAAAAAAGTTTATTAGGTGTTTTTTTGCGTTAATAAAAAATATTATTTTATTAAAATTTTTGGTTTAGTCTATAATTATGCCTTTCCCGAAAAATCCATAATTCGCCTAGTGACACAAAAGTTCACATGCTAGTATGGGTTGCATAACCTTGCCTCCATATAAAGCTACTATGTGGTATATGTATGGGGTCTTTTATAGTATATAGGGTCTTATCAGCTCGACAACCAAAGGCCGGTTGTCCGGATAGACTTGTTTATGAGCTACATACATATATATTTGTTCTTGCCACTAAGCTGAGCTTTGCATCGCATTTTTCTGTTGTTTTTGACGCTGTGTTTGTAAGAGTACAAAGTACAACTTTCGCCTGGAAACTCATCTACAGCGCTGAATATGTGCATCTAAAAATGTATTTTAATATGTATCTGCACGCACGGCTGTTTTCACGAAATTAAATTAATATAATTTACACTTTTCAGCTGGCAAACATCGGAATTAGGTATATAAACATTGGAATCGGTGATAGACGGAGGAGAGTATTGATAAGGAATAAATACTTGAAATGGGCCATCCTATATAGTTGTATATAAATATTTAAAATTAATAATCAGAGATATGAGTTACTGGTTCGAGAACCCGAGTGTACCTTCTTTGATAAAGAAAAGTTGTTTTATTATCTAATTAAGCAATATATATTTATTTTGACTCATAAAAGTGGTCCAATATAATATAATATATATTTTTCTCCCCTGACCGGCTTTCCACCTACTATATTTTATATTTTTCTTTGTTTAATTTCTCAGTTATCTGCCCCACCCCACCTTTATACAGCCCCTCTAATCACGGGCAAGTCATGCCATCAATCTATATATTGAGCACCCTGTAATTGCCCTTCCGCGAGTGCTTGAAAGTAGTAGTTTGAATTACAAACACACATGGGTTTGTTTTACATTAGCATGCCCCCACAACCCGGTGTTCCCGTTTTCATTCTGTTTTTCTAAGCAGGCCCACTAGAAAATTACATAACCCGAAAGATTGCAAACACAATACGATAATGAAAGGCAGTTCCTTTGGAGAGGGGATCCATTGCAAGGTATAGGGGTAGAGGGCACCATAGACTCACCCGATTTGATGCATGCCACGGCCTCTTCCGGCTTTACGATTGGAGGCTCCCGGGCGATGGGATGCGACAGTTCCTTGACATAGGTGAAGTAGTTGTTTTGGGCGGAAACCGTGGATGCCGTGGTCGCCGTTTTCAGGAGGTTGTTCAGCTGACCCACATGGCGCGCCAGTTGCTTGCTCATGATGCCTATATTGTATTAAGAAAGGAACGTCTTATAAACACGCACGAGGGGTTCGCGAGATGCAGGAGGCGATTAGTGGTGGGTTTTCGCAGGGGAGAGTTCAGAGACTGAGTTCCGTCCACGGCGGCACCAAATTTGCAACTTGTTCGCCCAAACAGCAAAACATCAGCGCGTCGAGAGCTTTACGGCAAAAGCTGTTTCCCGATCTTAGCTCCTCCACTCCGCCGTGAATATCTGCCTCAAATATTGCTCATTTGTTGATCTATTGCGTTTTCAGGGAGAGATTTTGGGGTATTCTTATAAATTTAGGTAAGCATTTTATTTAAAATTTCAAAAATCAGCCAGCTGTCTGTGTTGGGTAACGTTCGA